TTATAATTTCTTTGTATTATGCATGTATGAAGTGCAAATGTATGAATCCGTGTAAATAGCCAAAATTTCTCACGGTGGGGAAAAACTTTAAAGAGTTATTTCAAATAAGTTTTTACGTTTGATAGACAGTTTGTTTTTATAATGCTATGGTTTTTTTTTATTCAACATGTTGAATCAATTGGACTTTGGTAGAAAATATTCGTACAATACTAACTAAAACTGAATAGTTTGCACATTTCCATTCGTTTCAAAATTGATGTGTTTGTAGTTATTGTGTATTTTATTGATGAAATATAAGCTAAAAAATGTTTTGAACGAATATATCAAATTATTATATGAATAAACTTTCATCGAATAGGATTCAATTTTCAATTATAAACGTTAAAATGAGTTCTTTTATTCTACTGTGCTTTTTTTGTTTAAGTTCAATTATGTTCATATTGGCTCAGGAATGTCCCCTTAGCCAACATGAATCATTCTCAAAAAGAGATGCTTCAAGTGGCGAAACGGACGAAACAGTTTCTAGGAACATGTTCTCTAGCAACATGATTCCCGATTTCGTACGAAAACTTCGTGCAAAATCGATAGGAGGGATAGAGTTCGAGTTTGAAGGCTATATTGGGAACTACGAAACACGCTTTTCTATTCAATTTTATAAACCTGGAAAGTCGAGCGAAATCAATCAAAGATCATCAGGTGAAAGCATACAATGTTGCTAGCTAGCTATCTATATCAGCTATTGCTAAAGGGATATATAATACTCGCTCAGAAAATAAATTAATTGTTAAAAAACCCAATACTAATTTCCAAAAAACATCATTTTTTATAAGTGGACCAACAACTTGGAATAAAATTTCTGAAGAAATACGCTCTATTGAATCTCATGATCTCTTTAAATCAAAATATGCAGCTGAAATATATAAATGTTATGAGCAATTGATTTAGTATATATTAAAATTATATCAGAATTTATTTATTTAATTATTTATATAGATTCAACCAAAATGTTAATTTTAATTACAATGTTCGCTACTTTTTTACCATAAAATGTATTAGCTTTAAGAAAATGTAATTGGCCTTTTGGCAGCAAGTGTATTTAATCATTGCACGTGTAAATTTTACACAGATTGATACACCGTATACTAATAAATAATAATAATAATAATATAAATAGCTGCTATTTAACGCAGCTCTTTGCTCGGAAGCTGCGTATACTCGACATAACAATAGTGTTATTGTTTTGAAATGATTTAAAATGTTAAACCTTTCAAACAATGAGACCATTGTTATGTCCAGCATACGCAGCATCCGAGTGAAAGTTATCTCTATTATATTGTGCTCTATTTAATTAGGTGTTACACACTATTTAATTCGTAAAAATTTATATGAGTAATTTGAATATTTATGTCTTGTTACAGATACTATACTAAACTTGGTCCAAGCAAAAATTATGCATCAGTCATTGAAATATTTTATGACGACTTTTGTCCCAAGATACACAACCGATTTTAGCTTGAAACACAAGAGCTTACATAATCAGTATCAATGCGAAATATCAATTTCAATGAAATTACAGAACCAGTGCTATATTGAAAATGAACTTTTGGGTAAAAAAAATATAATTGCATATCCAAAAAATTAAAATACAACGTAAAAAAATAGCACTAATTTATTTTTTATTTTTTAGCAAACGAACAGTCAGGTTTCAAATGCAGTGTGAATAATTATTTCTTTGGGCAAATCAAAGATGTTACCGATATATTGAACCTATTGCACTTCAGATCTGCTCTCAGGGGAAGGATTTCAGATTTCGATTATTACCTACAAATAAATTATACCAATATGAAAAACCAAAATGGAAATAGGAAAGTTAATTTCCCATCAGAAAGAAAAACAGGTAAATAAAACAGTCTGGGGGTTAAGTGAAAAAAAATCCCCTTTTTTAAAAAGTCAACCAATAAATTTAATTTAATTCAATTCCAGACTGTCATGAGAAAGTCAAACCCAAATTGTTTACCGACACATTAGATTTGTTTGGAGTAAAAAATACAACTGAGTTTGAAGTTTCTTTCGTGGGCGAATTAGCTGAGCACAAAATCAACGTTACATTCATGGCATCTCGAGAAACACATTTGGAACCAGTGAATTAACAATAAATATGATCGGTTTCATAACTGTCAAATCATCATCAATGCAATTGATATTAAAATATAATTTTCAAAAGGAACATGAGACATTGAAATGCATTTTTTCGAAATACGCAAATAAAAATTTGGAATTTTACAATTTACGAAATGTTTTTTTATACTTACACAATTACCTTCATTGATTATATCTATCCTTCTCCTAGCTAAAATATTATTGTTGATCATTTTCGCCAAATTCATTTTCTTCAAAACATCGAAATACGAATAAAGTAGAGAAACAGCCATCTTGCGCATTTAGAGGTCAATTTTTGGAAATTCTTTTGACTGTTTCATATGTAAAACACTCACAATTTGTTCAAATTACAAACAATTCCAAATTCGTCATTCCAAATTCAGAAAAATGAGAACAAAATTCAAAAATTCAAAAAAAGCAATCCAATTGAATGTTTCAAACAGAGTTGATACTGAAAATCATCCAATAGAGGACGTTGTTCATGGCACACACAGTGTTAAACTGTCAACTGTCAAAGCATTGCACGCAACATGCGATTTGCGACAGTAGTGAATATAACAACAAGAATATTTTACAGTCGTTGTTTTTGAAATCGAAATTCAATTGGAAAATTTTAATGCAGATAACAAATCAAGAGATCAAAGAATGTGTCGATTTACGGGCGTGCGCTTATACAAATTGGTATAAAAAATTTCGAAAAATTACATTCGAATCGATATGCATTCCATTGCCAAAAGAAATCGTACAGTATTTGCTCGATGAAATAATTATATTACCAAAAGAATGCTACAGTAATGATGATGATAATGAGAATGCATTTGGACCAGACACTGCAGCCACAGCAGCTGACAATGAAGACGATGACGACGATGTAATAGTAAGTAAATTGAATGATCAAAATAGAAGCATATGACACATAGATAACATTATATTATATTTCAGCAACCGCAATTTCCAGAATTTAGTGAAACACTAGCAAATGCATTGTCACGACTTGACGGATCGGTATTCGTGAAAACCAATTGGAATAGCCCGAAAGATGCATTTTGGATAACCGCCGGCCAGACAATGTGCTGCAAAGATATCATCGATGTTTATCAATTGTTGAAAGCGTCTGGCATTTGCAAGGAGGATTTGTCATGTCACAATTTACCAATTTTCGATTTGGAACCATTGGCCGAGGCTTGTAGTAGCAGTGACACTGACAGCAGTGACAGCAGCATAAATCAATCCATGGAAAATAGTCAATATTTGATATTCAAAAAATGGCACGACATTCATCCGGGCACTGAGTTTCGCTGTTTTGTGCAGAACAAACGACTGATTGGCATTTCGCCAAGAGATTGGCCACAGTATCATGAATATATTTGCACACAACGTGTTAATATCGTGAATGATATTGTCACTACTTTCAAAGAACATATCGAACCAAAGTTTCCACTTTATGATTGTGAGTGCCATCCATATATTTATTTCATTTATTTTTGGATTTTCACATGAAACATGACGAGCTAGACTGATGAAACTTTTTTTTTGTATTTTGTATTGCAGATGTATTTGATGTAGTTCGTGATGCCAAAGATCGCGTTTTCCTGTTGGATTTTTCTCCATTTAATGAAAAATATACAGAGTCATTGGCTTTCGAATGGAGTGATTTGTTAGTTGATAGCGAGGTATATTCAATGAATATATTGTGATTAAAGTGTAATAATCAACGAAACTTAATACTATTTTAGATAAGTTCAAATGATGACGAAGAAGAAGATCCGGAATTTCGATATCTTAGTGCCGATTGTGGTATTCAGCCGAATAAACGCAATAACTACGGTATTCCAAAAGATGTGATCGACATGTTTCGCGCATCATCAAGCAATTCGAGTAATTCAAACGAATCTCCAAACACCCTTGACGATGTCATTAACAATCGTTTAGGAAACGTAAGATTAACTTTGTCGTAGATATGTTCAAATGCAAACCTATTTACAAAGATTCATTGACATTTTTACAGATATTTCTAAATCAACCGGATGAAGAACAAGCTCCTGAAGCAGAATAATTCATTTTTATACGCAATATTCAAATTGCATTTTTATTCAAATAAAAAGTTAAATTTTTCATAAAATGGATGACATTTTTCATGTCTATTTAAAAAAAAA